ACCTCTCGCTGCTACAGCCATCGTAGCCACTACATTCATGTACCTGAGCTACGCGTGCCACACGACTCGCCCTCTTGGCAGACTAATCTAATCAACTTTACCGAGCCTCGACAGCCCTCCCGCTCTTCTGTGTCTGCTTCTTGAGTGGATCCTCGACGTTCTCTGTCAATGTGGACTGGTTGTCATATGTGGACTGGTCGTCATACCGTCAGAACCCTCTATTGTTGAGTGTCATGGACGTTGCTCGATGCATGAGTGGCGCAGAGTATTCACTTTGCTTGTGTAAGCCAAAACAGTCTCAAAGGCTTGACACCCCGATCGATCAAACTCTGCACAATATCTTTCTTGATGTAGTGACCTCCGGAGCCAGCGTGCGCTGATTTCAAACCGGGCCAAGTCACGAGTCATTCTGAGCCGCGGCGGCCTCCGGTCGCGCTCCGTGATGCAGGCCGGACGCGGGCGAACCTGGGCATCCCAGGCTTTTGCGACTCTGCTTCTCGGCGATGCTGTGCCGAAGCGCACGTGCCAGGGTTCTGGCGATTGGCCAGGGCCTCCGACGCTGCTCTTCAGAGCACACCCTTCCTGGACCTCCGTGGTCGTGGGCCTGCGTCGCGGTGTGGGCCCCCCCTCGTGCTCCCGACCCCCTCTTCGAGGCTGGCTCCTCGCTGCGGGACCCATTTTCTGACGGCCCCCCTGGCCCAGACATTCCCCCCCACCTACACACAAGAGGCCGAAACCATCCTGATCACAATTGTGTATTCGAACAATGGGAGATGCCTAAGGCGAATCACCGCCGCCGCCCGCCCTTTTGAAAACTTCTATGTGGCTAAACGTTGGGCCAAAGGCTTGCAAATCTTTGACTATGTGTTCCCCCAGCCGTTGTGGAAAACCCTGGGGGGAACACTTGGGGAGAAACGGGGATATGAGGAGAAGAGGGATGATGATGATGATGATGATGATGATGATGATGATGATGATGATGATGATGACGATGACGATGATGATGATGATGATGATGATGATGATGATGATGATGATGATGATGATGAAGATGATGATAAAGATCATGAAGACGAGGAGGAGGAGGAGGAGGCCCCTTGGGGGGCCTCTGGAGACTCTCGCCTTCTGTGGGCTTTCTCTGGGGGCATTTGAGGGGCCTCTCGGCGGCGGCCTGCTGGGGTCTATCGTAAGCCTCGTGGGGAGGGTCGTGTTGGAAGTCTCTTGGGCAGTTTTGGGGCCCTCTTGGGGTCATCTGTGGGCCTCGTGGCTCGTCTGGGAGCACTTTTGGAGGCCTCTTTGGCCGTCTTGCGGCTATCTTGGAGGCATTTGGGGTCGGTCTCGTCTGCCCGAAAACCGAAAAGACGAGCACGCGAAACCACTGATTTTGGCATCGCCCTCCTGGTGTGCCGTTTCCTGCCTTGCGGCCACACGTCACGTTGCCAATGTGTTGGGCTATGTGTTCTCCCCAGCCGTTGTGGAAACCCTTGAGAGAGCATTTGGGGTAGGACGAGGGAGAAGCAGGAGAGATTGGACGAGGAGGAGGGAAACGATGAGAAGGCACGCGGCAACACGCGAAGCACCCCAAGGCATCCGTGAGTTCGGGGCCCATGCGCCGCAAATCTTTATTATTGATGACTCAGCCCTCACAGGACCCGAGTGCACTCCAACTCGTGCCTCGAAGCACGGCGGCGGATTACAATAATCATCATCGTCATCATCATCACCACCACCACCGTCATCATCATCATCATCATCATCATCATCATCATCATCACCATCATTATCATCATCATCATCATCATCATCATCATCATCATCGTCATCGTCATCGTCATCGTCATCGTCATCGTCATCGTCATCGTCGTCATCATCAGCATCATCCTTTTTATTATTAGCATCATTGAATTAGATTCACCATCGTCAGCACCATCAGCATCGCATCAACTTCATCGTCACCACCATCAGCAGCACCACCATCGTCATCACATCACCATCATCATCAACCTCATCGTCACCATTCTCAGCAGCATGACCATCACCACCATCATCATCATCATCATCATCATCACCATCATCATCACCCAGCATCACCATCATCATCAACACCATCATCATCACCAGCAGCATCAATATCATCATCATCATCATCCTCCTCCTCATCATCATCATCATCATTCTCATCATCATCATCATCATCATCATCATCATCATCATCATCATCATCATCATCATCATCATCATCATCATCATCATCATCATCATCATCATCATCATCGGCATCATCATCACCATCATCGTTACCGGGTTTAATTACATTCCAGCGTGCCCCTCGTGAGCTCGGGACGCTGGAGGTCCAGGACCTGCGGCACGGAGTTGGCCCACTTTGAAGCGCCTCTTTCGGCACGCGGCCCTGCGCCGCAGTCTCTGCGGGCTGCGCGACGCACGCCGCTGCCAGAGCGCAGTGGCAAGGCCGTGGGGGGCGGCCGCTGGGGACCCGAAAAGGGGGAGCGGCAAGGGGGGAAGGCGAGGCGCTGTCGCGGTCGCCGTCGCCGCCGCCGCCGCCGCCGTCGCCGTCGTCGCCGTCGTCGTCGTGGTCGCCGTCGTCGTCCTCGTGGTCTTCGTCGTCGCCGGTTCCATCGTCGTCGATGATGCCGCCGTCTTCGTCGCCGCTGTCCTATTCGTTGCCGTCGTCATCGTCGTTGTCGTCGTCGTCCTCTCCTCCCGCACGCGAGCGCGCGTGGGCGGGAGGAGGGCCAGGCGGAGGAGGGGCAGGAGGCGAAGGAGGAGAAGCAGGAGGAAGGGAGGCGAGGGATGGAGGACCAGGAGGAGGAGGAGGAGGAGGAGGTGGAGGAGGAGGAGGAGGAGGTGGAGGAGAGGGATGAGAGGAAGGAGAGGAAGGAGGAGAAGCAGGAGGAAGGGAGGAGGAGGAGCAGGAGGATGGGAAGAGGAGGAGAAGCAGGATAAAGGGAGAGGAGGATCAACATGAGGGAGACCAGGAGGAGGAGTAGGAGGAGAAGGAGGAGGAGGAGGAGGAGCAGGAGGGAGGGAGGAGAGGGAGGGAGGGAGGGCGCAGGGTCGGCGTGAGGCGGCGGCGGCGGAGGAGGAGGAGGAGGAGGAGGAGGAGGAGGAGGAAGGCATGGGTCCAACCACCTTTCTTGCCCCCTCAAACGCGTACTCCGCCCTCGTCCCCAGGTACGCCTTGGCCCGTGGGTTCGAGGAAGAAAGGGGAGCGAGGGCGGGAGGGAGGCGACGCGGGAGGAGGGAGGAGCTACGGCCAGGAACCTCGTCTCAACGTGCTGGGCCGCTGGTTCTGGCCCACCGCGCTTCGGCGCGATACGACGTCCTAGTCACCAAGGGTGAACATCCCGAGCTTTTCTCCCAGCCTCCCGTCACGCGAAGTGGAGCGGCACGCCATCAGCTCGCAAGGCATAGCGTGTCGCATGGGGCCGCCGCCGCGACACGCTAAGCAACGGTTCTTTACCGCAGGAAGAGGAATGGGAAACATAGTTTCGGTTGGTGTGTCCACGGTTCTAGGTCGCTCTAGGGTCTTCCCTCTTCCATCCTCTTCCATTCCTGCTCCCTCCCTCCCTCCCTCCCGCCGTCCCGCCGATCAAACTTACCTTGGGGACTGGAGGTCTCGTCCACTCCTGCGCTCTGGATCTGGTCGGGGCGCGCTGGTTGCCGGCGGGCCGCGCAACCAGCGATGACGACATCGAAGACGGCGGCGGCAAGGACGACGACGACGCCGACGGTGACGGCGACGGCGACGGCGATTGCCACGACGGCGACGTCGCCGACGACGACGACGACGAAGCTGACGACGGCGACGTCGCCGTCTTCGCTGCAGTCTTCGCGTCGTCGTCGGTGGCCGGTAGAGTCGCGGCGCCCAGGTGCTGGCCGCGGGGTGCCGGAGCGGCCTGGGGCGCCGCGTCGTCGTCGTCGTCGTCGTCGTCGTCGTCGTCGTCGTCGTCGCGTCGTCGTCGTCGTCGCGTCGTCGCGTCGTCGCGTCGTCGTCGTCGTTTTGTCGTCTTCGTCGTCGTCGTCGTTTTCGTCGCCGCCGCCGTTGTGGTCGTCGAGGCTCGCAGAAGTTGTTGGCATCTGCCGCACCAGGGGGCGGACCGCCTCAGGGGCATCGTCAAGGGGGACAGGCTCGGGTGGGGGTACCTCAATCGCCCATTCATCACCGATTGGCGCCTTATAGTTAGCCGGCCTGGTCCAGGATTGTTCGGTTTTGCTATCTGGGGCTTATTGCCGATCTGTCGGCGATGTATCGCTGAATGTTTCCCCCACCGAGCGGGTCCCGCTCCAGCGCTCCCTCTCATTGCTGGAGGCCCAGGATGGACCCCATGGGTCCTTGTATTGACTTTTAGCGGATTCGGGTCGTCACTGTCGTCGTCGTCGTCGTCGTCGTCGTCGTCGTCGTCGTCGTCGTCGTCGTCGTCATCGCCGTCGACGTCGACGTCGACGTCGCCGTCCGCCGTCGTCGTCGTCGCCGTCGCCGTTGCCGTCGTCGTCGTCGTCGTCGTCGTCGTCGTCGTCGTCGTCGTCGTCGTCGTCGTCGTCGTCGTCGTCGTCGTCTTCGTCTTCGTCGTTGTCGTCGTCGTCGTCGTTATCGTTTTCGGCTTCCAGGGGCCCTCGCCGGGCCCCAGGACCGCCAGTTATCTTGGCGAAGGACCCAACCATATGCAGTTGTGGGTACGTACCGCAATTGTGAAAATCTTCTTCGGTGGAACTCCCTATGGGGCCACGAAGCGCTGTTCTGGGTGAGTGGTGTGTCAAGTAAGGTTTCCGGGACGCATGCGGACGGTCCCATTGGGGGCTTCGGTGGAGCTCCCCATGGGGCCACGAAACGCTGTACTGGGTAAGTGAAAATCGAATTGGGCTTCCGGGACGCATGCGGACGGTCCCACTGGAGGCTTCGGTGGAACTCCCTATGGGGCCACGAAACGCTGTACTGGATGGTGAAAATGCCAAATTGGGCTGCTGGGACGCATGCGGACTGTCCCACTGGGGGCTTCGGTGGAGCTCACTAAGGGGCCACGAAACGCTATAGTGGGTGGGTAAAAATGCCACGTTGGGTTTTCGGGACGCATGCGGACGGTGGCACTGGGGCCTTCGGTGGAGTCCCCTACGGGGCCGCAAAATTTTGGACTGGGTGGGTGAAAATGCGACAATGGGTGTTTCGGGACGCTTGCGGACGGTCCCACTGGGGCCTTCGGTGGAGCTCCCTGTGGGGCCACGAAACGCTGCACTGGGTAAGTGAAAATGCCACATTGGGTGTGCGGGACGCATGCGGACGGTGGCACTGGGGCCTTCGGTGGAGCTCCCTGTGGGGCCACGAAACGATGCAATGGGTGGGTGAAAATGCCAAATTGGGTGTTTCAGGGCGCACTCGGACGGTCCCACTTGGGGCTTCGGTGGAGCTCCCTATGGGGCCACGAAACGCTGTACTGAGTGGGGGGGACGCATGTGGACGGTGGCACTGGGGCCTTCGGTGGAGCTCCCAATGGGGCCACGAAACGCTGTACTGAGTGGGGGGGACGCATGTGGACGGTGGCACTGGGGAGGAGGAGGGGGAGGAGGAGGAGAGGAGAGGAGAGGAGAACGCGGCGACCGTCTCTTCAAAACGAGGACCCAACACCACAGGATGTTTGGGGAAAATATTTCTGGCGAAGCACCCAACCATATGCAGCTGTGGGTACCGCAATTGTGAACATTTTCTTCGGTGAAACTCCCTTTGGGGCCACGAAGCGCTGCACTGGGTGGGGGGGAACGCTGTCCTGGGTGAGTGGTGTATCAAGTAAGGTTTCCGGGACGCATGCGGACGGTCCCACTGGGGGCTTCGGTGGAGGTCCCTATGGGGCCACGAAGCGCTGCACTGGGTTAGTGAAAATGCCAAATTGGGCTTCCGGGACGCTGGCGGACGGTCCCACTGGAGGCTTCGGTGGAACACGCTATGGGGCCACGAAGCGCTGTACTTGGTGAGTGAAAATGCCACGTTGGGTGTTTCGGGACGCATGCGGACGGTGGCACTGGGGCCTTCGGTGGAGCTCCCTGCGGGGCCACGAAACGTTGAAATGGGTGGGTGAAAATGCCAAATTGGGTGTTTCAGGACGCACTCGGACGGTCCCACTGGGGGCTTCGGTGGAGCTCCCTATGTGGCCACGAAGCGCTGCACTGAGTGGGGGGGACGCATGTGGACGGTGGCACTGGGGCCTTCGGTGGAGCTCCCTATGGGGCCACGAAGCGCTGTAATGAGTGGGGGGGACGCATGTGGACGGTGGCACTGGGGCCTTCGGTGGAGCTCCCTATGGGGCCACGAAGCGCTGTACTGAGTGGTGGACGGTGGCACTGGGGCCTTCGGTGGAGCTCCCTATGGGGCCACGGCGCTGGACGCATGTGGACGGTGGCACTGGGGCCTTCGGTGGAGCTCCCTATGGGGCCACGAAGCGCTGTACTGAGTGGGGGGGACGCATGTGGACGGTGGCACTGGGGCCTTCGGTGAGCTCCCTATGGGGCCACGAACGCTGTACTGAGTGGGGGGGGCGCATGTGCACGGCCACGAAACGCTGTACTGAGTGGGGGGACGCATGTGGACGGTGGCACTGGGGCCTTCGGTGGAGCTCCTTATGGGGCCACGAAGCGCTGTACTGAGTGGGGGGGACGCATGTGGACGGTGGCACTGGGGCCTTCCGTGGAGCTCCCTATGGGGCCACGAACCGCTGTATTGAGTGGGGGGGACGCATGTGGACCGTGGCACTGGGGCCTTCGGTGGAGCTCCCTATGGGGCCACGAAACGCTGTACTGAGTGGGGGGGACGCATGTGGACGGTGGCACTGGGGCCTTCGGTGGAGCTCCCTATGGGGCCACGAAACGCTGTACTGAGTGGGGGGACGCAGGTGGACGGTGCACTGAGCCTTCGGTGGACACTGGGGCCTTCGGTGGAGCTCTCTATGGGGCCACGAAACGCTGTACTGAGTGGGGGGGACGCATGTGTACGGTGGCACTGGGGCCTTCGGTGGAGCTCCCTATGGGGCCACGAAACGCTGCACTGAGTGGGGGGGACGCATGTGGACGGTGGCACTGGGGCCTTCGGTGGAGCTCCCTATGGGGCCACGAAACGCTGTACTGACTGGGGGGGACGCATGTGGACGGTGGCACTGGGGCCTTCGGTGGAGCTCCCTATGGGGCCACGAAACGCTGTACTGAGTGGGGGTGACGCATGTGGACGGTGGCACTGGGGCCTTCGGTGGAGCTCCCTATGGGGCCACGAAGCGCTGTACTGAGTGGGGGGACGCATGTGGACGGTGGCACTGGGGCCTTCGGTGGAGCTCTCTTTGGGGCCACGAAGCGCTGTACTGAGTGGGGGGGACGCATGTGGACGGTGGCACTGGGGCCTTCGGTGGAGCTCCCTATGGGGCCACGAAACGCTGTACTGAGTGGGGGGGACGCATGTGGGTGGCACTGGGGCCTTCGGTGGAGCTCCCTGTGGGGCCACGA